AAGGAGCTGGTAACGAAATAATGCAGCCCCAATGCTGGCATGCAGCCGGGCTCCCCCCAGGCTCCCTGGCCACTTCACCCATTTGCCAGCTGATCTGAGTTGATCTTCACTTGCACACCCATTTGCACACTTGTGCCAGCTGCTGGCACCACGGACACACAAGCCCACCAACTCACGGTCTTGAATTCAAGGAAAAGAATTTAATAAGACAATAGGACAGATTGTGCTGATCCAGCACAAGGTAGGACAAGACACATGTGCGGACCAGCTGCCTATTTGCACACAACCAACCCTTTTTATCTCCTTACACCTCTCTTTTCCTCCCTAAATCCCATAAATCTCTCCTTTTTCCCACCTTTGGTTCCTCCCCTAAAAATCTCACCGTAAACCCTGTGCAATCCCAAAATACTCTTCCCCTGCATGCCATAAGATGTCCCCCATCCCTTGACAGCGATCCCCCTTAGTCCATATGGCGATCCAGATTTCTGCTCCCGATGTCACATCTCCATGGGTCTTGTGCCAGGACCATGGCTCTGCTGGGACAGCTCTTGGAGGGATCTGAACAGAATACATCTTCCTTGGAAGTCCTTCATTTGGGTTCCCACCTGCTAATAAGCTCCTGTGCTCCTCTGGGCTTGTGCAGATGGGCTTTTGATGGGCTGGTGGCCCCCAGGGTTGGGCTGGGACTAGCCTGGCAGGGTATTATTTGTCTCTTTGCACTCCTTTGTGGCTGTGCAGATGAGCTTTTGTCACATAACCCAACACCACAATAACCAGAAGGCAGAGCAGAGATCCATGTGAAAGAGGTAAAGAGAAAAGCCACGATAATCATTTAGCAAACAAAATCATGCCAGCGTTGGTGCCGCATGGATCTGATAATCATGGGATCATGCAATTTATTTCACAGATAACACCAGAACTAACAAAGCAACAACTCCCAAATTAAAAGCGTAGCCGGTATCTGAACCGAACGTCACGAACAGGCTGCATCGTCCCGAATCCCCAGCGGCTGACGTCTATTGCTGGGATCTCCTCTTCTCTGTTGACCAGCTCCAGGTCATAGTAACTCAGCATCAGGAACACAAACAGTTTAATTTCAGTGGTTGCAAAGAACCGCCCAGGACAGATGGATACTCCTGCCCCCCAAGGCATGTTGAAGTATTTCAGCCTTTTCCCATTTTTGTAGAAATCTTTCTTGGTGCCATCTGGGTTTACGAAGCGGTCGTACTTAAATTCATGAGGCTCGGGGTGAATCCCAGGGTTCATCTGCACAGAGAGGTGTGGGAACAGAGCCAACCTGTCTCCTTTGCGAAGAGTGTACTCTGTCCCACTGCTCATCTTAAGGCTCATGTCCTGGAGGACAGCTCTGATCAGTACTGGGGCTGCGACCAGCCTCAGGGTCTCCTCCAGAGCACTGTCCAGAAAAGGAGTTTGGTTTAACATGTCCCTTGTGATGTTAATTGGGGGGCTCCCTGCCTTTGCTTCCTGGCCGCTCTCCCTTGAGACTTTATCAACCTCATCCTTCACAGCCTTCATAGCTTCTGGATGTTTCATCAGATACAACAGGAGCCAGAAGGCAGTTGGACCTGTATTGCCTTGGGATGCCCAGAGCAGCATAAACCTGAAACGATTCCGCATGTACTCAGGGACGCCGTTTTCTGCCAGTTGCTGGTCTTGATCACTTATCCACCCACTGATGTTGTCCTTCTGACTGCTCTTCTTCACAGACAGCATGCTCCAGAAGAGCCTCTTCAGCCGTTCGGCTTCTCTTTTGTCCTTGGGAGGCAACACGGCATAAGCCAGGCGAGGGAAGAGGCTGTCGTACTTCCGAAACTCGTGAAACACCTGGTTGGAGTGGATGCGATCTTGCTCGTTAGCTTTCTCCTTGTTATCTGGCCCCTGGTGTGGCTCAGTGCCATACAAAGCCAGGTACCCGGCTCTGAAGACGATGTTGTAGCAGTAGTGGAAGAGGTTATCCTCTTGCCACGCTCGCTTCTCCTCTCCTGAGCTCAGATTGAAAAACATCAGCTTCCAAAAGTTCTCCATGGTGGCCTGTGTCATGACAGTGAGTCCATCTCCCATCAGATGCTTCATGCTCAATGCATGAATGATGCCGTGGTTGGCTTTGGTGGGTTTGTAGCCAAAAACCCGCAGGACCAGTTGAGATGCGAAAGAGTTAAAGTCGAGTTTAGAACGGGATTCCTTCACGATGGCTCCAAAGCAGAAGGGGTCCATCACGAAGGTGAAGTAATAGCCTCCGATCAGCACGGTGAAAATATCTCCGTGTTTTCTCTGCATCCTTTTTAGAAACTCTGAACTGTCCTTTCTGAAATCCAGTGCGTAACCCAGCCAGGGAATCGTACCTTTGTCCAGAGGCGGTTCATCGGGTCTCCGTCTCCGAAACACACCCAGGAGGTAGAGCCCACCGAGCAGCGATGCTAGCAGGGTACAGAGGAGAGTCACCCAGAGCCCCATGAGACCTCTATGCCCGTCCCAGAGCTTGGACGAGAGCTAGGCTGGGGCAGGAGGGTGCTTTTTATTCCCATCCCAGAGCTGATACGCAGACACACAGCTGATAATCTCTGTCCCCATTGGCAGCACGTGTTTGCCTGCAGAGCACTCCAGTGTGTACTTCTCCCTTGATGAACAAACAGAGGTTTTTAAGGTGGAAGGTGTACTATAATCATGTTGGAGTTACTGGGCTGCTGTGGCAGATGGATGAGTTTCAGCATGTGCTCTGCAGCAGCTTAAGCATGAAGCTCATTTTTTGAAAAAGAGGGTTGAGAGCGTTTCACTCGGTGATTTCTGCCTTTAACACCAGGCTATGGACGTGTGCTGCAGGCTGGAAAAATGAGAGGAAGAGTGGATGGAGGAAATGTTACTGGAAGTGAGCTCAGGATGGAGGGAAAGGGGGTACAGCTGAGCTAATTTGGTCTCAAAAGCCAAGAGAAGGAAAGGTGTCCAACACCTTGATGTTCTTGAGCGCACAGTGCCCCATAAGTGCTTTGCCAATGAACAGTGTCAGCACTGCTAATATGAGAGCAAAGCAAAGCAGGTCTGCCTTTCTCATGGGTGATGGGGAATTGAATCAGTTGCATTTGCTTTGTATCAGATGAGTCCAACATCTGTGTGTGGCCAAGTCCACCTCCCAGCTGGAGACCAGCAGCACCCAGAAGGATGACAGCACTTTCTTCTGTGCACATGCTGGAGCATCTCCCATGCGAGGACAGGTTGAGAGAGTTGGGGGTGCTCAGCCTGGAGAAGAGAAGGCTCCGGGGAGACAGGAGAGATGGGGGGGGGACTCTTCAACAGGGGTTGGAGGGATAGGACAAGGGGGAATGGTTTTAAGCTGAAAGACGGGAGAATTAGATGAGATATTAGGAAGCAATGTTTTCCTGTGCGGGTGGTGAGGCAGTGGCCCAGGTTGCCCAGAGAAGCTGTGGATGCCCCATCCCTGGAGGGGTTCAAGGCCAGGCTGGATGAGGCTTTGGGCAACCTGGGCTAGTGGGAGGTGTCTCTGCCCATGGCAGGGGGGTGGAACTAGAAGTTCTCTAAGGTCCTTTCCAGACCAAAGCATTCTATGATTCTGATTAAGAAAAATGATTTAATAAGGTGCCAGGCCAGGGCACACTGCTTATACACAACCAGCCCCTTTTGATACTCCCCCACTCTATTTTCCCACCCTTTTCCTCCCCAATCCACCCTGATACTCCCTCTCCTGTATTTTTCCCACCTTTGCCCTTCCCCTGAGCATCCCATCACAAGTTTTTCACAGTCCCACGAGACCTCCTCCATATGGGATCATAATCTTTATTCTAGTTTTTGCTTCCCAGCTGCTCTCCCGTTCCACATTCCCTCCCAGTGACCTGACCCGTGGAGTCACAGCATCAACTAAATATTTATTCTGGCTTTTTTTTTTTTTTTTTAAAGAAAAGCTCCCAGCCTTTTGGACACACGCTGTAGTAATGTTGACAAGAAAAATAACAGCAGAGAAAACAAATCCACCTTTCTACATCAATCCAAAGCCCTTCTTGGCCCAGTAATCTTGTCTAGCAATAAAATTAAGGTGATGAATGTTTTCTCTTGAATTATTATTTTTATTTGTACAATTCTAGGCAACTTCCATGCTCAATAGGTCTCCAGGCTGGAAAGGGTCCAAGAGTTTTTGGGGTGAATAGTACCTTTAAATAAAGGTCAGTAAATTAATAATATTGAATTTTAAAGCTACACTGAGTAATAAGGATTGTCTAACAGCTCTCCATGCTCTTCTCTTCAAGCCCATGCTCTCAGTCTGTGGTGTTACAAAGCCATAATTTATATTAAGGATGGTATCCATGGATCTTTTTTATTTTGTCAAAACCAATCTTCAGAAAGGCAGATACCTCCACCACGGTTCTGCTGAGCCCATTTTTTTTTTTCCTCTTTCTCACCGGTTGTTACTTCTTTGAACTTTGTTGGTGATCAAACTGATCCCTAACCAAGGATCTGTCCCTCAGAAAGGGACACAGTTCCCTGCTCAGCAGACTCGAGCGTGGCACAGTTCATCGTAACAGAGAAACCCATCACCAGTCAGACAACCCAGTTTAACGGTGCCTAATTCCTCCCGTTGTCTCTCCTGGTAGACAAAGGGATGAGCCCCGTTGAGCACACCTACTGAGCAGATGGCTAAAGCCAGGGGAAGCAAAGCCACCCCCCAGGCTGGGCTTCTGGCCACTTGAGCCTGGCCTGATGGATGAGCGTGGCAAATCCATTCCCATGCTTACACCAGGAGCTGGAGGGATAATGGGATCGCTCTCCTCCATCAGATCCTTTGGGATTTACAGGGGAGAAATTCCGCACAAGTTTCAGTTTGAATTTTTAGGGGCACAACATCTAGAGAAGCTGCTCCTTCATCCACTAATGCCTCACATACGCCAGACAGGAGCTGGGCTTCTTCCATGATCATAAACCCAGGGGCAATCTTTTTATAATAATTCCAATGTCAATAATGTAAATATTTGTCATGCATTTGTCATACTCAACATTTCTATGTCAGCTGCGTATCTGCTGCAAGACTGGCTACTCTCTGGGGGCTGGATGTCAAAGAAAGCACTTCTCCTGCAAATGGCCCGAGGGATCTTCCATAAATATAACCTGAATCGTTTTTTCACAAAAGCATAGAGCAAGGGGTTGAGACAGCAGTGGACAAAGGACAAACTCTCCGTGATCAGCATGGCATAGTCCAACTGCCTATTGCTTTCACAGCTCCTGATCACACCAGCATCTTGCAGGGAGTGAAGGATGAGGACAATGTTGTAAGGGGACCACAGGACAAAGAAGACACCCACCAGAGTAAAGACTAAGCAGAGCGCTCTCCTTGAGCCAGGCATCTGAGACACAGCGAGGACACATGCTATGCGGGAATAGCAGAAGATCATGAAGAGGAAGGGAAAAAGGAAACCCAGGATGTTTTGAATGACCCGAAAGACAACCTTCCAAAATAAGTGTTCTTGGCCATAATCATGGGTGCATATGATGGTTTTGTTGTGGATTTGCCTTGTGCTGCTGAAGAGGCCATCAGGAATGGAGAGAAGTATGGAAAGGAGCCATACCACCACCAAGACGAGGATGGACATCCTCCATGCCATGTTGCTGCGAGGAGAACAAGCATGAACTATCTGCAGATACATGTCTAGACTCATGCAGCTCACAAAAAAGACCCCACTGTAGAAATTCACAGTGTACATGGCATTTAAGACCGGGCACAATATGTCCCAGGTCACCCACCGAGAAATGTACAGAGCCCAAAAAGGAAGGGTTAGTAGCAAGAAGAAGTCTGAAACCACCAAGTTCAGCAGATACACCTCAGTCATCTTCCTTTTCTTCTTGATGTACATAATGAGGACAATAAACAGGAGGACATTCCCAGCCAACCCAACCAGGAAGACCACGGTGTAAAAAGACGGCAAGAATACTCTGCTGAAGGAGAGCACCTCTTCTTTCGTACAGAGGCTATACTGCATGTAATCCTCCTCATCCAAGTACTCGTACACATAGTCGCTCGAATTGGCAGCATCCACCAAGGTGGCAGCGGTGGTTGTTGTCACCTTTGAAGCTGAGTTTGACAAGTGGCTGCCTAGGAACAAAAGACAAGTGAAGGGGATCAAAATGTTGCTCCAATCCACAAGGAAAAGGCAAACATCACATCATGGAGGGTTTTCCTCTAGTTCATAGGTTTAAATTTCTGCCTCCTTCTGATAAGTACTTTGTGTCCTGCACTCCTGGGCCTTTGCCTATGGAATGGGGACAGCTGTCTATACATACATATACTAAAAATTAATTCTGGTTTCTTTACTCCGACCTATTAAAACTTGAAAGTAAATTAGCACAGTCTTTGACATAACTCACCACTTCCTCCTGACAGACACCACTGCAAGCTTTTGAGGAAGTTTCTGCTCTAAATTATGGGAAATCCACCACCACACTTCCCTGCTTTAGATTCACCCGGGTTGCTACTGAGAAAGCAGCATCTCAGTTCTCGGTGAAGCAGAACCTGCCACGAGCACCTTTATGTTGGTGGGGCTGCTCCCAGAGGTGAAACGCTGAACATCTCATGCTTCTGGTAGGACACCAATCCCTCTCCAAGCCAACTCTAGGACATCAAGCCATGGATTCTTGTAGAAGGTGAGTAGAAAATATAGAATCATAGGATGGTTTGGGTTGGAAGGGACCTTCAAGAACATTTAGCTCCAACTCCCCTGCCTTGGGCAAGGACACCTCCCAATAGACCAGGCTGCTCAAAGCCTCATGCAAGGTAAGGACACATAGGCACCAGAATCAATTCCTGAATCAAGGTTAGAGGTCAAGATTTAGCTGGAAGGATGTTTCTGGAGCCAGTCCTGCCTGAGCCGAGGCATGGCTTGAAACCCTGCTGACCGAGGAGAGCGAGGGCCATGCGGTCGGCTGCTCCCCAGGACCGCAGGCTGGCGTCAGTGTTTAGACAGCTGCAGCCAAGATTTCAGGAAATGGTGACTGGCTTGGAGAGCTTCCCACTTTTGGAGTCTGATTTTCAGAAAAAAAAAAAAAAACAACCAAAACCCACACAAGAACACTAGAAGGCTTTCACCTTCCAAAAGCCACCCTAACTGGGCAACGGCTGTCACTGAAGAGCCCATCTCCTGCTGTGGGAGATGGGATCATCTGAGCCACCTCCCTGCAGTACCATGGAGGTTTAGGTGGGTTTAAAAATCAAGACTGATCTCTAGGCTCTGACAGCAAACAAGTGCTGTCAGAGGAAGAAATAGTGCTACACATCCCAGGGTGGACATAGAATCATAGAATCATTAAGGTTGGAAAAAGACCTCAAGGATCATCAGGTTCCCACAGTGGCTCTGCAACTTCTAGGGATGGCTCCTGCCCCATGAACATCCCGGGAAAGGGCAGCCCCTCCCGCCCACGTGGGTTAAGCAAAGCACCCAAGGTTTGGAGTGGGGTGCTGAGGATGCCTGTTGGGTGTGCAGCCGTAAGGGGTGAAGCTTTGGACATACCTGTTGCGGTCTCATGTCTAAAATTGCTTAAATACCCATTCCAGGCAATCACAGGTGGCTGAAAAAAAAAGAGAGAAAATTAGTTTTGGGCTGGATTGAAATGTTTTCTTGCTGTCTTGCAGTTCTTTGGTGAGTGGAGAGCAGAGATCTGCCATGGGAGAGTGACAGAAAAAGACTTTTCTAGGAATGAGCTTTTTTTTCTGTTTCACATTTTGGAGGAAATTCATCATTAGCCATATACAGGTCTGACTTCGAGAGGAAACCAAAGCTGCCCACCCTTCTGATCACAGCAACACCCAGCAAGGCTCCTAAACACCACACACGCCGCCTCTGCACCCACATAAGCACAAGACATCCCCAAAATTTCCATTTTTGTGTCTCTTCCAGCCCATCAAGATGCCTTTTCTCTCTCTGCTGTGTTTCCCCCCCTCATATCACGCTGGCACTGACATTCACATCCCCATCCCGTAGCTCGAAGCAGAGAACTCTCAAACACAACGTGGGCTGAGCTCACAAATTAATCCCAAGCCTGCCAGAGCACTGGCACTTAGGAGCTGGCTAACTTTCAAGAAGAAATGAGAACCTTTCCAGGTTTCTCATGCAGCTTTGTCTACAAGCAAGAAGCAGAAAACGCACTTACAAGAGCTTCTTCTGCACCGTGGGCAGCTCCCATCCTGCCGGAGGCTTGAATAAGGCTTTTAGGAATCTTTCACTTGTGTAAGAGCGTGGGCAGGAAATGTGAGCTCCGTGTGACCTCCCTGGTTTTGTTTTGTGTTTCCTGGTCTTGGTCAGTGGTTGCCAGCACTGGAGGAATCATCTCTGCACCCTGTTGGAGCACGTGTCCCTCTACAACATCTACAACAGGCGTGTGCACCCAGAGTTGGGCTTTGCCGCCTGAGATACCCATCAGGACTGTGGTACCTCCTGCCACGGGTGCCATGGGGACCCAGCACCCCTCCTGGAGAAATCCAACCTGCTCGTGGATGGCTCAAGTCAGACATCACACTGGGGATGGCCAGAGCCGCTGGGACCAAAGACCCCCATCAACACAACGTGAAGATGGCTGGTGGATCCCATGCACCTCAGCATGCACTGGTTGGGTGGTGAGACCACCCACAAAATAGCCTAAAAATGGGTTTTTCTGGGATGCACTAGACCAGGGTCATGCAGGCAAGCACACAGACCAGTCACTTTTTTAAACATGACCAGTTCCTTTTGCCCTTCTTCTCTCCATTTTTCCAGGCAGGTTTTTCCCCCGTCCACCTTAATCCTTCCATTTTCTCCACCCCACCTCCTCCCAAACAAGCAATCTGGCGCTCCCTGTTGATTGTGGGTTTGCTGCTTCCCAACCCCCGATGTGGTGGCAAGGTCCCTCTTGTTATTTTGTTTTCTAAAGAGCTTTAATTAGTGGGAACATCTGCCATTGCCTGAGAGATGGATATGGAGACGGATAGGTTCAATAAAGCCAAGTGTCAGGTCCTTCACTTTGGTCACAACAACCCCC